AAAAGCCACACCGCGTCACGCGTGAGGAAGCCGTGACAAAAGAAGTTCAAACATCGGAGCAGCAGTGCGCCTGGACTACGTATACGTACGTACACATACGTAGACACTTGACAGGGTGTCATTATCCGCCACTTCTCATTATTCTTTTGTGTTTCGTTGACACAATATTTTGCCGACTCGAGCAACTGCTCTCGTGCAGCTAGCTCGGCTTACTTAGCGATGCATTTCGTATACATGTACAAGATCGTTCGATCGGATTCGAATCGGGTTATTTTTCGGAATTATCGCTTTACTCGTGGCATCCAAAGAATAGCCTAGCTGGGAGGTAAAGAGCTCGAAGGAAGTAAAGTGCCAGTTCCATTCGAAATAGGCACTGGAATAGAGACGCGACTTTTCGGGCGATATTTAGTACGGAGAGCCTGTCGGGGCTCGCGCCTCCAGTGCAACCCATTGTCTCGGGGCTGGCGTGCGGTATATATAGACTCGCGCGCCAGCATGTAAAACGATGATTTCTCGGCTCTCTCTCTCTCGCTCACTTATACTCGTTCCGTGGGCTGCTGCCGCTGCTGCCTCGCTGCGTCCGAGAGCTGGCAAGGACCACCCAGCAAACCTATACTTACCGAGGTGTCGGCAAATTGAGCTATAGATGCCTTGGGTGTAATGTGCAACGGGAGGCTCCATCGCCGCGTCGATACCATCCGGTCTCTCTCTCTCTCTCTCTCTCTCTGCAAAAGGCTATATAGCTGCATCATGAGTACACTCGTACACATTACGTATCATGTATATACCTACACGTAGGTATTACGTACTCGAGCAAGTCGCGAGCTATTAAAATCAGCTCGCGCACTCGACTCGCCGCGTGCTACACTCGAACGGGTAAAAGGGAATGTATATCTGTATCGAATGATGCGTGTATATTTTGTGTCAGCTACTTGGCTGCGTATACAAGCTCGGCAGGAAAAAAAAAGCGTCGAATACACGATAACGCCTGCTAGCCACTAATTTCTCTCTGCCACCTGCTGCTGATGGCGTGACTCACTTATACATGACATTTACATGATTTTATATTTAAAGGATTCGGTATAGCTAATGACGCGCATAATAATAAAGGCGTATACAGGTTGGAAACGACGCGAATGATTCTCGCCGATCGATGTCTCAATTCCCATGATGCCCGTGCGATTTCCCGAGCTAATTCCAACCGCTGTCACACTTATTTTTGCAGACAAATTAAGATTTAGAGGCTCGATAAAAGTCGATGCTTTGTTTTTGCTTTCTTTCTGGCTTCTCGGAAGGCAGTACTATTACGCTCTGGCATGGTGCAATTCGTCGCGGTATTTTGCATTCAGTCAACGTCGTTCCGTAAATCCTCTTTTCCATTGTTTTTCAGGCTCCGGGCTGGAGATGTGAAAATCAATGAACGGACGATGAATCAAGGACAAAGGATCGAACTAACGACGAGTCGTCCATTCCGTACAGTGCAGCGTCAAATTCCCGCCAAGTAGTATATTATATAAAGTTCGCACAGTCAGCGCAAATCCAATCAGGAGACCCGTGTATATATAATAGCTGCATGAAAGGCGCATCACGGGGTAGAATAATAGTCGGGCTCTGCAGCTTGAAAAATAATCCATGAATGTGTATCTCGCAGCTCGGATCTTTGATCGCGGCGAGCTGCAACTTTAGTGCCTCGCCGTACTCGGGCCACATGCATGGGATACATCGATGCTTGATCAATGATACGCGGAGCTCGACTCGTAGTCTATACTACCTATTCCCTGGCGCGCTGCAGTCTGCACATGTACGCGTGCGTGTATAAACGAGCGGCGATAATACGCCTCGGCTCGAGCGTGCGAGGCGTCAATCAGCCGTCGTTCAATCAAGCGAGTTCCTTTGCACGCCTCGCGGCCCTCGTACCTACACAACAACTTCGTGTTGTGGCTGTGCGGGCCGTGTGCGTGCGAGCGCGTTCTCTCCTCGCGCTCGAGTTCTACGCTCAATCGAGCGCGCGAGCAGCTTGACACTCACCATCGAGACGATGAAAAGATCGTAATAAGCCGTTTAATCCTTGCTCGACGAGCCAGCTCAAGATCTGCTGCTGCTATGCGGCCCCACAGCGAGGCTTGCGCAACAACGATTTAATCGATCGGCTGCTCGACCAGACAAATTCGTCGCTCGTTAGCTTGGCGCATTTTGTGCGAGCCAACACGCGTCGAAATTTACACCGAGCTCTCAACCTAGAACTGCCCCAGTGCGCAGGTATATAATATACCTATACACTGAAACGGCGAACGAGCACTAGTCACGCGACGATCAGCGCGCAGATACTCGAGCACTCTCGAGTTTCGGAACATCGATATCGAGTGTTGTCTCGTCATAATTCGAGTATAGGTCACTCGGACTGGTGGCGGGACTGTTCCCTCGTTGCGTCGTGTGCTGTACACACGATGAATCGAGTACCAAACGGTGTATACAAGGAGGATGCGATATTACCGGAGAGCCTTGAGTTTGCTCTTTTAAATACTTAAAATTTATTATGTTAGACGCATATTGTTTAAGTATTTATATGTAGTTCATCGGCTAATACATTATGAATATTAATATTACATAAATATGTATTTATGCATAAATTTTAGTTGTAAATAAACAAACCCCTTTTTTCAATCTTACTGTAGAATTTTAGATCTTTATTTCGAAATCTTACATTTAGTCATACATAGAAAAATTAATTTAAATAGCAGATGGGAAACATAGTAATTTTTCATACTTTTCACCGCAGTATTTTTTAAATAATATTCCGGTAGTTTCGGAACATATTTTCTTGGAAAAAATTGACAGATCTTCGTTCACTCTCCGCACCACGTACGCATAGTAGTGCGAATCAAAATCTTTTTCCTCGTAAGTTTCCATAGTAAAATAACATTTTTTATTGATTCTTACGATATTTATGATTTTACCAAATAATTTATTATGCTGTTGTATATTAATTGGTAAAAACATTCCTACTTCATAGTTAATGCCTTCTAACTCAATTTTTAGCATATTGAAGCAATCTTCTCTATCTGATTCATTTTCTATAAAAATCTGATTATTTATGATTTGGCACAGACGCAATTGCTCTTTTACTCCAATTGTGTACAACAGATTTTTTTTGCAGCTTGTAGAAGTTACTACGGATTTGATCGGTCGATGACGTGACTCGAAACGCATGGTCGAGTAATTGACACATGGTCCTAATAGTGTCAATAATCGAGGATAGTGTATTAAAAAATGATGTTTGGGCTTTAAAGGACCGAATAATTTAATGTAAAGCTCATGATGTTCTTCGATCAATGATTGCAAATAACTTTCATTATCTCGTCGAACAAAATGGCATGCTAAAATATCAAAAATTCGGCGAAGTAAAATAAATAATTGCCAATGCTCATCTTCCTCTTCCACGAAATGTCCAATAAATAAAGGTAAGTATCGTGTGAGGCATGAAATTTCGGAAGCGGACATTTTTAAATTGAACCGTTGTTTTAGATGATTCTCTTTTATTGGTGGTGGTTTGTTACAACCAGTGTGTTTATATTCAAAACATTCTATTTGTTCATTGAGGTCGTTCAATTTAAAAATTTTTTTATCGAAGATAAAAACTTTTAAAATTTGATGTATATCATAAGAGCACACGCCCTCCAAGAAATCGTGCAAAATGTCTATGCTTGTATTTTCCGTGATGTGAAAGTTTTGAATTTCGTGGAAAATACAAGCTTCTCTTATTCCGGATTCATTGACATTTTTTATTTTAGCGTCTAAATCATAATCATCACGTTTTCGAATTTTTGATTTTACTTCAATAGTTGCGAGGCTAGCTTCTTCATTAGTGAGTTTACAAATTCTGCAGTAAAAATCGGTTGTGAATGATTTCGTAAAACCAAAAATATCATTCAAGCCTAAATTATCACCTAACACCAATAGCAATTCAAATTTAACTACGAACGATTTAGAATCAACACAGATTTTCACTCCATTTTGCCTGAGGTCATTAGCCTCATCGACCAATTTATGGAAGGTCTCCCTGTTCGAAAGCTTTTTCTGCTGTTTAGAATGCATTAATAAGCTAAGAAAAATCGCACATAGACGAGAAGCAATACTAGGAGGTAGACACGCTATTTGAGAGTAGACCGCTGACATTTTATTTTTACCTGCACAGCTGCCCAGTGCATTTCCGCATTCACATTCATCAAAATAAATGAAATATGGAATCACAATATCTTGACAATGTTTTGGGATATATTTTTGCCTGAATAAATCAGCTTGAATAATATTTTTTATAATAAGGGGATTATTTTCCTCAAGTAATTTGGATCTATATTCCATTATGGAATTAAAAACATTTGGAATTTCCAGAAAATGTTTTAAAGTGATCTTTAAAGGCATCACAAGAGCAAATACTGGGTCGAAACTAACATAAGTGTGATTCCCTTCCGATTTTTTTTCTAATACATTTCCTATCTCAGGAACCTGCGGATTACGATAATTGATTTTACGTAATAAATTGAATCTATTATCCTCTGTATTAAGTGGAACAAACAACGTTTTATAATCGTCAAAAACGGAATTTAACTTCATTTTAGTTCTCTCTGACAATTGTTCATTTTCTAATGCTTCTAAAATATCTGCTCGAAGAGATGGTATGAAATGATTTTGATTAAATTTATCAAAAAAATCAATCACGGTATCAACAACCGATCTAGGCAAGTTAGAATCTGCATAAATATTTAAAATAAAAATTAAAAGTTCTTTGATTAAGAAAAAAAGATCCATGATAATAAAGATTCAAAGATAGGGCTATAAATAATAACAATAGAATACAAATTTGTATTATTTTTGTATTGTATTTAACAAATACGTGATTTTTACTTAAAAATGAAATTTACATCTGATAAAATACAAATCTGTATTATTATATCTGTACATATGTTTCAAAAGGATGTGATGTTTAATTTAAAAATTAATTAACATTTGAAAAAAAACCTTATTTCTTATTTATTTGCAATTTTTCAATTAAGTTTTTTGTCACAGCATGAGTCTTATAGACAAAAAATAAGCTCTTATTCATCGGTATCTTATAGATAATAAATTGAAAAAAAGCATGAATTGGCTCACAGGCAATGGGCCATGAACGCAGAGCTGCTTGACACTTAATGCAAGTTAAAATAGCTTTGAACGGATTAGAATAACTTATAATAGTTCCATTAAATACAAGATAAGATTTTGAAATTGATTCAATCGTTCCACATAAAATTACATACAAAGGTATCCTAATAGAAAGTTTTTCTAGAGTTTTTTCGTGATTCTCCCTATCTACAGCTAAATTTGAATCATCCTGTAAAAAAGTATTTGTGTAATTAAAAATAAGAATGAAGAAAATTAGAATAAAGTATGGGTAGAGAAGCTTACCTTAAGATGTAGAAAAAAAGCATCTGCAGCTTGCTTTCTAGTGATCCCTTCGTGAGTGTTGTTCAAGTACCATGGCAAAGCGAAAAGAGCCAATAGATTGTCATGTTTACCTGTACAAATGAAGCAAACAGATATAATTATAAAGATGCACTGACATCGATTATCAAATATTTACATGAAATAAATTAATTACCTGCATCTATTAAAGGTTGGTGCTTTTTCTTGAAATTTTTTATGTTTTGGCCAGAGGCAACTTTCACAATTGCCATAAATTTTTCAGCGATGATTGGCCATTGAGTTTCAAAAAAAGTTTCACTTCTTGCATAAAACTCGGTAGTTATTTTAGTAGAAATATAAAATTCGTTAATTATAGTCTCAAAATCAGATACCAACTGCAAGAGACCATGTAACATAATAATAATTATAATATTTGTAAACAATTCAAAGATCTATATTTTATAAAGTGGTAGATTACCAATGATATTGACGAGNCACGATGACGTTTAGTTAGCAGCGCCACGGCAGTTTGAGTGTCGTATTCACGACGCTGTGTGCGGCTCACTCGTTCGCCGTTTCAGTGTATACCTACTGGTGGGGCAGTCGATGCGCGCGCTCTATAGGCAGCTTTCCTCGCGTGTGTGCTGCATGTGTATGTGCTCCGAGCTCCGCTGTCCAAGTCTCTGTGTATGTGTGTGTGTGTGTGACTCGTGTAATTGGCTTCCAACTGGACTTCAAAGGGCGCCGCTCTCCTTCATCGCGCCGCCATACGGCCGACGAGCGAAAACGAAAGAGCCGACGCGAGGACTGAAAATTATACGCAAACGCGCTGCTGCTGCTGCTGCTGCTGCTGCTGCAGTAACAGGAGTGAGGATTGCTGTTTTATGCTATGCATGCTGTGTTTGTGTGTGCACTGTGGATGTGTGTGGTGGATGCGGAGCCGATCGAAGCGGCCTCTCGGTGCTGACGCTCGGCAACTCTCGCGAGTCGAGATCAGTCTCGAGACTCGACGATCGACTCGGGATCGGTTACCATGATACACCACAACGTATATATACGGACACGGCTCGCTGTCTCGTTTGGCTCGATCTCTCGATTCGTCATTAATCTCGCGTTTAAGCGCGACCGCAGCGCAGTCCCTCTCACCCGCGATCGGCTTATATTCTCGAGCGATTTTGCAGGCCGACGCTCTCGAAATTCCAAAAGAATCTCTCTCTCTCTCTCTCGCTTTTGCCCGAGCTCCCTCCGAGCTTCCAACGAATCTAACGACTGAATCGAATGCGCAGCTAACCGCTATTAGGATACAATAGAGTGATTATTCGATTTCACCGCGAGACTCTACTACGCTTCTCTTAGATAATCGATACGAGATTTTTTGCCGTTTCCCCCCCTGCAGCCTAAGCCGCGCTGCACTGGCTTTTCACTCGCTTTTTCTACCGCGCCGCTTTTTCTTTCAATTGACGCGATGCTTAAATCGTTAAACACAAGAATGGCTTGCTATACCTGCCATTGAAGCGATTATATCATTTTCTGCCGGGTACCTCGTAATCTGCTGCCCTGGCCCCCTTCCTTTTCATTGTTTTTTATAACTTTTTTTTTTCTTTTCAATTTCTCTGCGGCTAATTATAATAGCTAAGTTACTTGCCTTTCGCACAGTTGACAGAGCTAATTGACGCGTGAATCGACTGGGACAACTATCTCAATTACCCGGCAGACAAGAAAATTATAAATCGTTCCGTCAGTCTTGCAACAATACTTAAAATCGGACCCGTCAACGAACTCTTGGCCAGAATAATAGACGACGAGTCAAAGCAATCGATTCAGCCACGAAGGTAATTAGAAGACACGTGACAAAGGAACAATTCAAAGTGACAAATTGCAGAATATTAGTAGCACAAGACGGATTTCTCGGTACGTGAAATCGCAGGTGAGATTAATTTTTTGCCCAATTACCGGCAGAACATCATAACGATGCGTTCGCTTTGGATTTTTGGCAGAGCCAAGCGAGAGCTCTGATTAGGCTCTCGTTCTGTAATTGAAGGGCAAAAAACACGAGGACAAAGAAAACGAGAGGCTCATACGGGACTGTTTGAAGGAAAAAAAGGGAAAAAGTATTTGGCGCCTCGCTTGGGAGCATAACGAGGACGATTTATCCAATCAGGAGAGGATCCGCAAACTTTCTTGGGAACGCGGGCGCGCGCCCTCACATGTGTCGTGGATAGGGAAAAAATCGCTCCTTTTTACTCGCTCGCTCTCGTATTCTCTCGTATATATGTATGTAGTGCTGCGTACGCGCGGCGACGTCCCAACACCCGAGGACACGGGTCGTTTAGGCGGCTCCTTTCTTCGATCATTAAGAGCTGCCGACGAGCAAGCAGCGCGACTCGTGTACCCTCGGGGCCAATTTTATTCGCTCGCTGCAACTACGTGCAGCTACTCAAACGGTGAGCGAGTCAAACGAAGTCTGCCTGCCTTGCCTGAGCTATTGTTTTTCATTTGTTATCCTTATAAATTTTCATCCTTCACGTCTACTCGAGCGTAATAAAGCAAATTCCAATTCCAACGCAGCAGCATTACAGCTGCTCTTTTTAGCTATTTATTGTCCAGAACAAATTAGTCACTCATGCGACCGTATTAACCATTGTGATTCCTTGTAATCTTGAAAATTGAATCATTTGCTCGTTCAAGCGCCAATTTCTTGATTTCGTATTAAATATTGAAACGAGGTTATCTACTCTTATTGCTGTGACTGGCAAAAAAGGCACTTTCTTCACTAGTAGCAATTTTATCCGTATTTTGAAAGCAGCACCGATGAAAACAAATGCGGCTTTAAAAGCGTGCCTAGTAACAGGAAATAACAAACAGGTGTGTACATATGTGTATCTGGGCCTGAGCTACTATATAATCGTAGAGCAAAATCGAATTGTCGAATCGGTGTTCGTTTTAGCGCTACACCATTTTTACATCTTCGAGGCATTAAGAGAATGATCTATGGATATACGCTTTTTCAATTCTATCGCAAAAAATAAGAAGCCAATCTGCAAATGCGAGTGATGAATTAATTGATTGACGAACGAAATTAGTATGTGTACTTAGAAATCTCGATTAAATCGATCCTTGCGAGTGCCCTCGAGTCGTTACATAATTTTCGCAGCACAACAGCCTCGCCGCTCGTAGCGTGTTTTCCTCGAAGCATTTTTGATGTGAAACATCTATATTCGCGTTTGGTGTCAGGGGTAAACCCGTAAAAACCGAGCGTCCGTCCGTCCGTCCGTCCGTCCGTCCGTCCGAGCGAGCGCAACTTTGGTAGTAGAACTGCCTATACAGCGTCGGTTTGCGCTACGCGCTGTGATTGGCTGCCGCGCCAGCTACAGAACTGCTTTCTGCTGCTGCCCGCTGCCGAGACTCGACGCGCGTATGCCTGTGTTACGTATACGCACGAGGCAACGTAACAGCATAAGCAACAGCAGTCGGCTCAGCTCACGAGATTGACTGCGACCTGCGTTGAGATATCTTTCTCTCTCTTGCTTATGCGTATCGCTAATACATATAATACGTACGTGTTGTCTATGCGTATACGTCGCGAGACTATGCACTATCATGCACGTTGTCAAATCTGATACTTATTACTGCATGTATGTATACTATACGTGTCTATGAGTGTGTGTCTTCTTAAGGGAAGTCGAAATTATCATGTTATATTAAGATATAACGAACGATAATAGCTCAATGCACTAATTTGATTAATAAAACAAATTGAAAATTGAAAAAATTAAAAAAAAACAGCTGTTTATGAACAGCCGCAAGATGTGAAACATCTTTATCAATTAATTAAAGAAAATTGGAGAATTTAAAAGTAATCGAACAAGTAAAAGTCGAAACAAAAAAATAAGTAAAAAAAATCAAATTTTTCTCCTCTTGAGGCTATTAACACGACTGTAGAGCACGACTATAATACATACATATTATGCAGTCCTCTTATAATATTCACCCCTACATACATCGCCATGTATAATTGGGCTCTTTTTCTTTCTCCACGATATATTCCATCAATCATTTTTCAAAATTGCCCACCCTTGCATGCTGCACCTTCATATTTTCGTGCTGGCACATCGTGCCTGTTATACTTGTTTATTAAGCCAACTATAAAATATCCAAAATAAGTATGGAAAGAGGAAATGCTTTACATATAAACATAATTTTGCATAGCGTTGTTAATTATTTTAAAAATGTGAGCGGATATAAAGGAGCTCACATTTTCTGATTAAGTCATCATTCTGATCTCATTATGCTAATTAATTCAAAAGAGCCTTAAGTTACGAGTTTTAACGTGTTCGTTGAAATCGGTGACTATAAGAGTATGAATTTATAATTCCAAAATAACAAACAAAAATCATGGAAAATACATAAATATTATAAAATCAACTATAAACATCTAAAAGTAATGTAATTTCAAACTTAGCTGAAAAACTTTCGAGTCAAACGATACTATAATGAAAATATCATCATCTTGCTCGATAATCGAATACATATCATCACTTCAATGACTACCCTAGATCGTTGAACATATGGTTTTCTACAATGAGCGTTCGATGCAATTACCTCTGCAGCATTGCAGAATATAATGCTTTGGTTACGTGCATCGTTGAATATAACTGTTATATTCTATTATTTCTCCAAAATTATTCAAACGTATTCAAACGTAATATAGTTTTGATGAAAAGAAAATTGTTATGTTTGTAAATGTATATTTCTTACAGGTATTTCATTTTTTATAATAATTTCTCTTAAAATGTATAGATATCATTACCGATGAAATGTTGTATTTCTATTATTTTATTATTTTGAAAGTTGTTCCAGATTTTCAATTGTCGTTTCACATGTTTATTCATTTTCTTAATTTTGAATCTATTTTAGAAAATTTCTTCCAAGTACTTCAAATTTTGAAGGGAAAGACTGAGCTTTAATTCTAATTTAGTTGAACAATTTTACAGTTTTTGATACTTCATTTTTTCAATATTTTCATGTCGGAAGTTTATTAGGGTTATAATTTTATAAATTTACATAATTCACAAAAAACTACGATGTAATATTATCTTTAGAATAAAAACTAATTGCCAATGAATTCATAGGGAAGCTGTACATTAAATTGATTACAACGTTTTTATTTATTATTTTATTTAGGTTACTATACCTCTACATTTATATCATATTAATTTACTGTATACTATATATTTATCAATCCTAACTTATTATTTGTCAATATCATAATTAGTTCAATTAATTTTGTAGTTAAGTATCTGTTTTAGACATTCTAATGAACTTAAGAAAAACATCTTTCATACATAAAATTACTTAAATCAATCTTATTTTTTTATGAGCTGAACGAAATTCCAAGCTTACTCAGGTAAGATACGTATAATTTAACAATCAAGTGTTAAATTGAAGAACTTTGGAATATCTGATGGCTGCATTTACACTTAAGTTT